GCAGTGCGATGCGGCGGCTAGTAAAGCGACCAAAACGCTGGCTTGCATCCATAGATGCTTCTCAAGCAAATCCCGGGACGTCATTCTCCCCCTGTACTCGGCCTTAGTGAGGCCGCAGCTGGAGTACTGTGTCCAGTTTTGGGCTCCACAATTCAAAAAGGATGTGGAGAAGCTTGAGAGTCCAGAGAAGAGCCACGTGCATGATCAGAGGTCAGGGAAGCAGACCCTACGATGACAGGCTGAGAGCCCTGGGGCTCTTTAGCCTGAAAAAGCGCAGGCTCAGGGGTGATCTGATGGCCACCTACAAGTTTATCAGGGGTGACCACCAGTATCTGGGGGAACGTTTGTTCACCAGAGCGCCCCAAGGGATGACGAGGTCGAATGGTCACAAACTACTTCAAGATCGTTTCAGGCTGGACATAAGGAAGAATTTCTTTACTGTCCGAGCCCCCAAGGTCTGGAACAGCCTGCCACCGGACGTGGTTCAAGCGCCTTCATTGAACACCTTCAAGATGAAACTGGATGCTTATCTTGCTGGGATCCTATGACCCCAGCTGACTTCCTGCCCTTTAGGCCGGGGGCTGGACTCGATGATCTTCCGAGGTCCCTTCCAGCCCTGATGTTTATGGAATCTATGAAGAAATAACTTGTCTGAAGGTTTTTTCTTTTACTGCTGTTCTTTGAAGAAGTAACAAAAATAATTCAACCATATGTGACTTTTTTCCCCTTCAAGATACATATATACTTTATTCTTTTTAAAGCTCTCATTGATCAGAAGCACTGACAAGGTTTTTTTATAAACTTTAAGTTTATTCTAATTAAATACACCATTGTTTCTGAACTTGACTAATTGATTGTAACTTAACTAACTGAACTACAAGCACAATGTAATGGAGTTTATAGATCTTCACTTACTGCTATAGAACAAATTAAGAATAAATTAAAATATTTCATTTATTTTCTGAAAACCTTAGCATTTGGTTATTATATTCCATTTTTCATCTGATAAAACATCCTCATCTAACTGAGGTTACATTTGGACTATGAGATGCTATTTTTTAAAAAGCACTACTGCAATAATCCAGTTCTGGCCTAGCTACTTACATAAAAATGTAAATTAAAAAGAAAGTCACCACCTAAATTCTCTAAGTAAAACCCACTGTAAGGGTCACAGTAGTAGATTGAAAGAGAACATATATCAAGTCAGAATACTGACCAGTTTGTTCCCACTGTTCTCAATCTACTAAAATCTAAAAAAGAGACATGGAAGTATTTGAAGCAAGAATCCCAATTCATTTGTAACACACCAATAATATTTAACATCTACTTTACAGTCCTTCATTTAAATAACTTATTTGAATGCGGAACAATGCCGAATCATCCTAAAAGGAGGACAACTGTGAATTTGCTGCTATTCTTTTACCATGAAAATGCACAAAGTTTGTTATTTAAAATCTGTTATATAAAGTATGTTATTGGGTGTTCTTGACTACACAAGCAATTTACATAATGGTTACAAAAGGCAAAGTCAGGATGCTTGGTTCAGTTTATCTGATATAGCACCATAATACTAGTCTACAGAATCTGCAACAGAAGTGCATCAAAAGCAGTTTGTATAGGGTATTACCCAACTGTAAACCAGTTTAAGGATCTGCTGCACTTTTTTGCTTTCTAGTGTTGTTTATACCATAGTCAAAGGTAAGCCTACAACTTGTGAAGATGTAGCCTTGCCAATTTGAAACTAGTTAGCTCAAGTACCAACAATAGTGTAGCCACAGCAACATAGAGTTCACTACCTTGCAGCCTGTATTGAGAACTACACTCATTTGAAATTGGCTTGAGTA